AAGGCACTCTGACACTCAAGTTAGTAATATAACCGAGCAGTTGGAAAAGTAGGTAATGCATGTATATTGTGCATCGTTGGTTCCAAAGTCATACTTGAGACCTTTATTTATACTAGTTGATGATGAACCTTTACCTTTCGCTGGCCTAATGATGGCCTAATCACACATTAACCTGCTTTAGGATTTTAATGAGTTATCATGTTTATAATCTAACTATTCGGTTGGCTTGGGTGGTTGGTCAGCCTGAATGGTCGGTCTGGGTGATCAGTCGACCTGGATGGTTGGCTTGAACGATCAGTCTGGGTGATTGATTGGTTTGGATGATCGGTTTGATAGTGCCCAAAAGACTGTACGATATACATAAATGATCAATCTAATGATGTCCAAGAGACTTTACGGTACAAAAACTAATTGCAAGTTACTTTGTCTTATGTCGATTATACTTTTCATTGCAATACTATGATTTTTTGGGATCAATAACATGACTCGACTTTTTCTTAAAACTGTAATTAGGATGGTATCTACAAGTCTATAACATTTATCTTTTTGTATTACCTAGGATACCACATTTTGGGTCTTTCCTTTCTGTATTTATTAGAATAAACAAAACATTTGTTTGTAGAGTTAACAAGAAAAGGTCATACTCTCATAATTAATAAAGGAAGTTGAAGAAGAAGTTAACCCAATTTTATGATGCTCTTCTTCTTGAAAGACTAAGGAGAAGATAATAATAAAAATTCAAATAGTAAATTTTTTCCACAAATCTGGGAAAAAGAATCATTCAAGTCCACCAGAAAAGAAATTATATACTCTTGTTCGTTATAATTTTGAAAATGTTGTAAGCCACCAACATAGGTAAGAAAAAGTAGGTCTGTATCCTGATAAATGTCGGTAATTACGCAATAGAAAAATATTCTTGTCTATACCCATAAATAAAAATACAACATAAATTTAATATGGTTTAGCACTTTAGGATCTATATTTACCAATATTTATAAAAATATTATTATTTAACATGTAATTTATTTTGACAAAAAACTATAAATTTTTATATAATTTTTATAATAAAAACTGCAAATCTTTTCGTACAATTTTTGTGGTACAAAATCACAAACCATTTCTTACAATCATGACTCGACTTTTATTTAACATGACTCGACTTTTTCTTAAAATTGTAACTAGGATGGTATATACAAGTCTATAACATTTATCTTTTTGTATTACCTAGGATACCACATTTTGGGTCTTTTCTTTTGTTGGGTATCATTCATACAGCACAAGCACACACAACTTAAATAGAGAAGAGAAAATACTGACAATAGGCAAAAGTAGAAATTTTATACTGGTGGAAGAAATTTACAGCACCTCTCTCTTACAATACAAAACTTCTCAAAATTATGAGAATACAAGAAATGAGAGAATATGAGAGAATGTGATATATAACAAAGGGGGCAAGGGGTTTCTTTTATAGCCACCAAGCCATACCCCTTTACAAGTTCCCACCAATGTGGGACTTCATTTCTCACAATCTCCCACTTGAAGATTTTGATGAAACTAATTAAATCTTCACACCATCTTTGCCTTCGTGTTGCTTGTTCTTCTGATAAACTTCAGTATAATCGAATTAACGTAAATATGCCAATAACCTTTGACACCTAATTCTGATTCTCCGAAACGCAATGTAACACCTGATCAATATTTTACTATTCTCCACCTAAACCTACCATGAACATACTAACCACTCTCATTGCTTGTGCAATGTCTGGTCTTGTACGCATCATAGCAATTATAAGGTTGCCCACCACTGATGCATACTGTACTCGAGACTTTTCCATCCTCTCCACTTCAATGCTAGGACTCATACTTAAGGATAATTGAGAAGAGATGGGGTAAAACTGGCTTGCACTCTCGCATGTTGAAGTGCCGCAAGACTTTCAGTAAGTTTTACTTCTGAGAAAGCCAAATCTTCCTATATTTTTCTATCTCAGTGGATTTGCATCCCTAAAATCTTGTTTACCGGTTTCAAGTCCTTTAATATCAAACTCCCTACCCAATTGTGCCTTCAGTTCTTGGATTAGAGCTTTGTTGGGGCCTACCACCAACATGTCATCCTCATACAACAACAAAATGATAAATCATTATCCTCAAACCTCTTGTAGTATGTACAATGGTCTGAACTTAGTTTGTTGTATCTGAGGCTAATGATAAATGAATCAAATCTCTTATACCAACACCTTGGGGCCTGCTTTAAACCGTATAGAGATTTGTTCAACCTGTAAACTAAGTTTTCTTGTTCTTCAAAGCCTTCTGGTTGGAGCATCATTTCATTCCTGCTTAACAATAACCTTGTGAGTGGTGGAACTCACAGGCAATAACCCTTCACATTGTTAGCATAACCCAAGCACTTAATTCTTTCCCCAATTTCAAGCTCTACTAGTGCTTTGGTTTCCTTGAACTGGTAATAACAACACATTTGACTTCCTCTTGATGTGATACACCCACAAACTCCTGGAATAAATTTCGCTCCTCCTAGGAATAACTCCGGTGATTCTCTTACATCAGAATGGACCAAGTCTTCTTGTGTTTTCTTTTCTGGTATTCAAACTTGCAAACTTCGATCTATGTTGTTGGCTTATCACACAGTGCTCGCATAAAGGTAAAACAACCTTCTTAAGCCCGAGTACAGATTACGTTCCGCCTTGCAAACTTCACTTTGACATATGTCCAAGTACGATGTCAAGTCAACACCGTTTCTTCTTGACTTGTCAATGCAACCATTGCATTAGCTTTCTACAACGTATCTCCCATAAGCACATGTCATGATCTTTTGAGCTTTTATGACTTACCAGATCTCCCCTCTTTCTCACAAGAATATTCTTGTGTGGAGAGACTTCACCTAATATAATTTTATGAGGGGATCCCAAATCTCCCTTGCAATTTCTTTCCACTTCTGCTCCGTCATTTCTGCGGGTTTTCCTTCAATTACAGCTATGCAATTGTCCTTTCTCAAAATTGCCTTTATCTTCAATTTCCACAATGAGAAATTGTTCCCGTTGAACCTCTCTATCTCGTGTTTTGTTGTCATAATTTCTAAAATATGGGCTTATGCACTTCTCACTATGAATAGTATTGTCTACTGGAACAACACAGGTAAACCGTGAAGTAACACACCAAGAAGTTCCCAGGAAATAGAGGTGGGTCACAAATGGACACTCTTAAGTACCAAATATTTCCTTGCCAGAACTTTCCTAGACAGGACTTTCACACTACCAAACGTTTCCAGTAATAACTCTTTTCTAATACGGAAGATCGGATTAAACCGCAACCACAGTGCATACTCAGATTTTTATCAACACTATTCTAATGACAATAGCAACGGAATACAAACCTATAGCTCTGATACCATTGTTGGGTATCATCCATACAGCACAAACACACACAACTAAAATAGAGAAAAGAAAATACTAATAATAGGCAAAAATGGAAATTTTATACTGGTGGAACCTCTCTCTTTCAATACAAAACTTCTCTAAATTATGAGAATACAAGAAAGGAGAGAACAAAGGAGAGAATGAGATATATAACAAAGGGGACAAGGGTTTCTTTTATAACCACCAAACCATACCCCTTCACAAGTTCCCAATGTGGGACTTCATTCCTCACACCTTTGTGTATTTATTAGAATTATTTATTAGAATAAACAAAACATTTGTTTGTAGAGTTAACAAGAAAATGTCATACTATCATAATTAATAAAGGAAGTTGAAGAAAAAGTTAACCCAATTTTATGATGCTCTTCTTCTTGAAGGACTAAGGAGAAGACAATAATAAAAATTCAAATAGTAAATTTTTTCCACAAATCTAGGAAAAAGAATCATTCAAGTCCACCAGAAAAGAAATTATATACTCTTGTTCGTTATAATTTTGAAAATGTTGTAAGCCACCAACATGGGTAAGCAAAAGTAGGTCTGTATCCTGATAAATGTCGGTAATTACGCAATAGAAAAATATTCTTGTATTTACAAAATAAAAATATGGTTTAGCACTTTAGGATCTATATTTACAAATATTTATAAAAATATTATTATTTAACATGTAATTTATTTTGACAAAAAACTATAAATTTTTATATAATTTTTATAATAAAAACTGCAAATCTTTTCGTACAATTTTTGTGGTACAAAATCACAAACCATTTCTTACAATCATACTAAAGAAAAAGCATATATTAATATTTAAAAACTAATTTAAACAACTAAACCTAAACTAATTTAAGTCTTTAAAAAAATGAAAAATTACACGACTAGGAGTAAAACATAAAGTCCCTTATCTATATTAATACCTATTAGTTATTGAAAATAATAAATCTTGAAAAAGAAAACAAATAAATATATTAAATGTTGAGCACTTAAAATCAGAAGTCAAATAATTGAGAGTTGTAAATTATCTTAACGGATGTTTAGGAAGTAACGTGATAATAAATGGTTAAGTTTAAGAATTTATTTGACATTACTAAAATTTGTTTTGAAATTTTCAATTTTACAGATTAACGCGATAAACATTTTAAATTTTTAAAGACTTGTATCATTTTGCTTGATTTGAAAGTGATAATGAAATAATAAACGAGAGAAATCAAATAAAATAGGACAAAACTTGTGAAAAAAAAACACTATTAGTACCAAACCAAGAGACAACTTTTTCTATCCCCACAAGATTACCATCACGATGATTATTATTACTATTAGTAATGGTATCATTCTTGTCATTTATATACCACCACGGATATAACAAAGAATTGAACTTTGCATTGTTATATTTAACACTTACATGTAACAAACTTCGCACTGTCAGTCACTAAACCAAAAGTCAGTTGAACAGTATTGACTTTTGCTTACTCTTTGTGATTTTTGCTTACTCACTTTCTATTATTAATCAAAGTGATATGTTTCTAACATTACTGCATAATATGAAGATCTCATGTGGAAGAAGCAGAGAGAGGATTTACCCAGTTGATGGGCACAATGTTCAATCTATAGATAATTGATTTACACGGGAAAACCCCCCTGAAAGCTTCATGATGGGTGGACAAGAATTGGGAAGAAATATGAACAGAATTTGATGTTTTACTTCAATGATGGAAATGATATCCAAGTGCCAAACCCGGTTTGCCTAAAACTAAATCCTATTTTACATGTCATAAACTGTAAGGAGAGCTCCAGAGGTAAAAACGGCTGAAAGGCAAACCCCAAGAAATAGTCTACTCTTCACAGAAAATGAATCAAGCCCTTGATGCAGTATGCAGAACTTTGCTATGTTCATATCTCTCAGCCTTAATTGATGGAAGTAGGGAGGGTGTTGGAAGAGGAACATGGTAATGTGTTTTGCTGATGAGAAGGCCAAGAAATCCGTTCTGGACAACATGGAGCAGGATGGGCAATAAATGTAGGAATTTCATCTCCCGGCATAAGAACTGAAACCCCACTTGCATATACACTCATCTGCAAAATTTACAGAAAACCAGGATGAAATTCATGTGTAACTAAAACAAAAGAGTAAGTTATCTCCAGCAATAGATGAATTAAAGAGTTGTATTATTGCCACAACATAAGTTAATAAACCAAGTTTGACAAACCATTGTACATTGTGAACCTCGGAGAAAAGCACCAAATGCTTATTTGTTGCTCCATTTATGTCTAAAAATGTGTTTGGATACACAACTAAATTGAGTACAAATATAACAAGTCTTTTTACATGATAGCTTATGTCACAAACTTGACTTGTAAGAATCTCTGGTTACTTTTACAGTTAAAACTCTTTCAAACAACCATTAATAGCATTAGTTTTGACAGCATAAATGAATAAAATGTATATCAATGAACATGTGAATTCTTTCAGGGCTTGGCTATTTAGAGTATGCAATAGTCTAGTGGCGTTTAGACACATTATTTATGCAGATATAGTAATACAATAGCTGCAGCACTATTTTCTAGTTAGACTTCTCAACACAAAAAGCAAATTCACCAAAGGGCCAAGTCCAGAAAATCAGAAAGGAGAAAACAATTGATTAGTACTTGACATTATCACCCATTTTAAACTGAAAATTCGACCAGGTTAGTTGATTGTGACAGCTTTACGATGGAAAGAAAAGAACGCTATCAGTTAGACACACAATGTCAGACACACAGCCAGGCAGGTATGGTTGATGCAAGCACACAGGGAAAGTGAATTGGTCAGTGTCATGCACAACGTTTTATAGAAAAAGTGGCTAAAACAATCGTAGGTAAAACACCATAAAGCCACCCATATTGACTATTGCTGAACAGAATTTTACTGTGAAGTTGTTTGCATCCGATGCTAAACTTATAAACCAAGATCTAGCTAGTGAAACACATCCCATCACTCGGCAAAGTGATTAAATTTTACTGTATAAGATTCACTGGTACAAAGAATCTTTTCCTAGACACCTAGTGGCCCTCACTTCTGTGTAAGAGTAAATGAAATAAAGTGACAAAAACAAAAGCATTTATATCATAAATTTGACAACAATACGCAAGACAGTGAAATAAACATACAGAAGAGACATTGATACACAGAAAACAAAGCATAGTAATTGCCTTCATTTTAAAAGTCAATGTTCTGCACTGTGTATAACATGTTGATACCTTTCAATAGTTAGTTACCATTAAAGGACACTAGTTAAAGAATCAATATACAATACTTTTTTAATTAAAAATCACGATAAGATAACATTACAAAATACTTTTTATTCTTTGTTTATTAACAGGTTATTTGAGTGTCTCAGATAGATTAACAGTTAAAGAATCACATGCTATATTTCTACCCTTCTGTGTGATTAGTCTCTAATCCAATTTCCTTCTGCGCATGGTTTGTTACAGAAATGTGAAGTTTACTTTTATGTAAAGAAAATTCCAAAACGGTCTCTGACCACTATCATTACCATAAACAAAAAAAAGAATCCCAGTCAGAAGCCAAAGTGCGGGGAGCATTTTCACCAAAGTCCATATTCTGTTATCTATATTCCATTAACACAATACTGAGATCCTCTGAGCTGATGAAAATGCCAAAAAAGTAAGCTATTAAATTCTGGATTAGTTCCTTTCAAAATAAAAATTTGAATTGTGTGATGAGAGAGCTTTTCTGTCTAAAATCTCATTGGCCACTACTAGAGAATCATTTAATAGTTTTTGATAAAGGTGAAAGAAACAAATCCATCGGAGACAGCGTCTCAATCAAGTTGTTCCCTACTACCGAACTGAGATTGGATAAGTAGGTGGGTCCAGCGTGTTCCACCGAAGGAATGGCACAAGGCAGACAACACAATTGTTACATGGTACTGGTTCATCATAGGATACTACACTATACTACATTAAAAACTAAATATTAAAGTGGTATAAGCCAAGAAGATATATATGTAGAATAAAATACAATATACCATGTGGTTACTTTATTTATCTATTAGCATACAAGACTAGCATTTAAACGTTGACCAACTGTCTGAGACCACAGACACCGGCCACACACGGTTTCATCAAAGATTTTGGAGATGCTGGAGAGGATGAACAGCAAGGACAATGTGGGTCTCAACTTTAATCACAAAGATTTACAAAGACTCGTGGCAAGGGACCAAGTGTTGAGTAGAATGCTTCCAAGCAGGACCATCTTCACATAAAACTTACAAGACAATACAGTTCGCTCACGAATCATAACGAAGATAATTGACAGAACGTGCAAATGCAGAATGAAATCAAACCAAAAAAAAAATGGTAGGGTTAGCTAAAAGCTATAGAGTTCACTTTCCAATGAAGATTAAGAAAAAGGGTTTGTCAGAGCTAAATTGATATTTGACTGAAGGGAAGTTGAGGATTAATATTAACCACCACAGTAAAATAGCAAAGCATGTTTTTATCAAAGAAAAGGCATAAACATAAAACATTTGAAGACGGGAACAGAAGAGTAGAGCCGCTAGGAAAACCTCTTATGGAAGACCAAGACAGTTAGAGATCTAACATTCGTTGCAGATATATATAACCAAACTGGTATATGTAAGTGGGAGAACTTCTGAAATTGAGTTAGACTCAGGTCCAAGAATGAACAAGAAAACATAGAAGGTGGTGGTGATTAAGATGACAGGCACAATCACAAAACGTGTAACAATCAAACAGCCCAGAAGAAATTTATTAAAAAAAAATAGCAAGAAGACTGTAAAATTTCAAAAAATCCCAAGATCCAGCAGTCTTTGAGCAATTAAGTGAGGAAATTATGAGAATTTAAAATTACATAAAAAAACTAGAAAATGAGAAAACCCACCAAAGAAAAACAACTTTTGGCACGAAAAGGTGGAGGCTTTATCATCGGGACGAGAGAATTTTACTTTTCTTTTATTGATTTTACTTACTTTTGGTGAAGGGTGAGCGAGCTTGGCGGGGAAGCCGATCTGGGCTTCGACGTCGCGGGGGGCAGGGCGAGCAGCGGGAGAGAGGGGCGGCGAGGTGGGGCGGAGAAACCTCTCGAAAATGGCCATGACTAGGAACATGGAGATGAGAATGGCGGTGGCGACGAAGCCGAAGGAGACGGCGTTGACGGAGCTGTCAAAGTTGGTCCAATGCTCGTCTCTGTGGACGTTGAGTGGAGCCTGAATTGGTGGCCACCCGTTCGCAATGGCGTGGTCCCCCACCACCATTTTTGGTGCCGATGAAGCCTCTCTTCTCTTCTGCTATGCTGTTTCAACCATTCTTTTTTTGTTGGCCGAGAAAGAGAGAGTGAAATAAGAACAGTGTGGGAGAGTTCAGTGAAGTTTGGCAATGGAGAGAGTTTGACTGTGTTAAGCAATGCAGAGAGAGTGAGGGAGAGAGAAAGGAAGAACTGAAGTGAACATTGGAATTTGGATGAACCTCTCTCTCTCTCCTTTTCTTTATATTTCACACACATACGATAAAAACAGAACCATAAACCTCTTTACCATCATTATTCATATTTTTTTCCTTAAAGAAGCTGTTTAGTTATTTATGATGTCTTCCCTCTCTCACAACCTTCTCATTCATGTTTATTAAGATTAAAACAATAGTTCATAAATAACAATATAATAATATTATTAGAAGTATAATAAAAATTAATTAACACCAAATTAAAGACAGAAGCTCTTAATTAATATTAAGCACACTAGTTCTTAATTAATATTAAACACACTTAGAGAAAAAAAGTAGGTCAAGATAATATTTTTAATGAGAGTTTGAATCAATTTGGTTTTGATAGATCAATCCAACGGATCAGTCGAGTGATATAATTCGATCCAGATATAATATAGTTCGATCTTGAAATAGTTCAAACGATATTCTTTTCAAATAGTCCATAATCAATTTGTTTTTATGTAAAAATTCAAAAATTTCAAGTTGTTTTCCCTATAAAATTACAATTTTCAATAATAGAAGAAAAGAAAAATCAAATTATTCTTATAACTCAACGAATCAAATTGTAAAAATTAATTTATTCTGAACCAATTCAACCCAACTTATTTTTTACTGGTCAAAGTTTGGTCGAACATAATCAAGCTAGATTTGCCATTTTGCAACTCCTAATTATCATTATTTAAAAATAGGATATATTTTAACTAAAACTCTTATTTATACTATACTTACTCTAAAACAGACAGAAATAAGAAAATCTGTCCAGACTATTTTATCATGCCAGTCTTATTTAAAAGTGTTTTTTTTTATTTGTTTATTAGCATTTGATATAAGAATACAATAGCGCAGAAGAAAATAAAATCTTCATTTGATTAAATAAAGTAAAATTAATTTATAGTTCATAATATTATTCATACGGCAACCAGTACAAAAGAGTTATTTTATTCTATTAAAAATAGGTATAGTGTTTTTAATATACTTTTATCAGGATTTTGCAAATAAGTGTTATTAAGGCTAACAAATTAAAAAATAATTTTTAATAAAATTGCATGATGATGTTTTATAAAAAAAAATTGAGTAATTTTTTTCTTTTAATTTCTTATAGAGACATTAGTTAACATTTGCGTTAAACTTTACTAACGGTTGACTTAGTTTAGAAAATTTTGAGCATGAATAAGGTCATAAGTAATAGACTTACTATAGCCAATTTTGATATTTCAAACTCAATTTAACAAACAAATAAATACCACACCCAATTCATATCTAACTTTGTACAATATTAAACCCTTTTAATGAGTAAGGAAAAAAGTCAAATCAATGTAAGTTGATTTTTTAATTGAGTAGTGATATTTTTTAGATGTACTAAATAAAAACCATTCACTTTATATTATTAAAGTGGGTGGTAACGTTGCTTGTACTTCTTTAAGTATAAAAATAAAATAAAATAAATATTTTTAACTTCAGTAATGAACTCTTGTTTTATTCGGCAAGTGGAAATTGGCTTTGTAGACATAATATATAAATGAAATTTTTATAATTAAATTTATTTAATTAATAATTTTTTTAAGATTGCCAAAATTTAATATAATATAATAATATAAATAATATCACAACAATAACACCTAATATATTTTAATAAATTAAAAAGTATACATAAAATTAAAAATATAGAAATTATTTTTAAAAATATAAAATATTTCGAATTTATAAGTAATATTAAAAAAATAAATAAAATACACTTACTGATAATAATTTGTAATTATTTTAAAATCAAGTTAATATAAAATGAATAAAAGTTAATTATAATTATTAGTATTATTATAACAGTATTCTAACATACAAATAATAAAAGAATTAACATTAATAACTAATGTGAATATAAAATTAATTTCAATATAAAATATTAATAACTTAAATTTATTAATAAGTCATTAATCAGTTTATGATTATTTTATATTAAAATATTGGATAATTGGATGATTAAAATGGTCTCTTTGAATTCGATTTTTATGTGCAGATTTAATTTTTTTTTTCTTAATTTCATATTGTTCATAGGGGTGTAAAAAAATCAGTGTCCGCGGATATCCGCAGATGAAATCCGTGACGAATAGTTGATATCCGTGGATATTTACTACCCGTAACCCACGGGTAGCGGATATTTTAATACCCGCTTATAAACGGGTTGGGTGCGGGTATTATACTATCCGTACCCGTGGATACCCGCTACCCGCAAAAATTAAAAATAAAAATTTAATTTATATTTTATTAAGTTATATTTAATTAAAATTAACATTAATTTATATTTTACAAGATTAAATTTAATTAAAATTGAATTTAAATTTATATTTAATTTAATTTATATTATATTTTATATATTTTTTGTAATTCTATTTTAAAATACCCGCGGATATTCACGATCCGCGGGTTTTAAAATACCCGCGGATATTTTTTAAGCGGGTATCCGTGCGGGTAGCGGATCGGGTAGCGGGTGGATTTTTTTTTATCGGGTCGGGTTGCGGATAGACACTATCCGTGCCCGACCCGACCCGTTATCATCCCTAATTGTTCCTTACAATAAGCGCGAAGTTGTTCCTTATATAATTTTTCTAATAACAACAACGTATCCTCTTTGTTAAATACGATAGTTTTATGTTGGAAATTAGTTAAGTAAACAAAAACATATTAAACTTATTGTTGTATAATTAATGTAAACTTGTGTTTGTGTTGTTTTAACCACAACATCTTCAACTTACAATTATAAGATCAACTTACAATTTATCATAAATATCATATAGTTCCAAAATTTATCAATTTACTTACATATATAAGATTTTTCAAACAAACTCCAACTTAAAATATCATGTATAAGCAAAAGGAATTGTAGAATGATATCAACTTCTCTTAGCTTAAGTTTCTTACACTAAGAAAGATAAGTGAAAATGGAATAAGAAATTATTGAATCACATTACTCCCTTATTAGCTCAATATTCTAATTCTTACAACATCTCAATATAGAATAAAACCACATGATTCCTTTTTATCCAATAGTTCCAGATATATACATATTCATTAATTAATAGAAAGAATTTGAAGAAGGAAACAAACTTACATTGAGCACTTTAGAGTGAGGTTTTTCATAAAGAAGAATGTACAAGATATTGATGGAAAACTTGGATATTTTTAGAAGATGGTTTTTTTTTCCTTAATTTTTAGTGAAAATTAAAATTAATTTATCTTTGAAATTTTAATCAAATTTAGTTTCTTAGTATAGATTTAATTTTCTTAACCAAAATTTGTTAAGTTTATTTAACGTTTCTAATATATTTCATGTTAACATTTGAATTGTTTATACTATTTTATATATTTTTTATTTAATTTTAATTAAAAAACGCATTTAAAACCTCAAATAAATTAAACAAAATTTTGTTAAAAAAATTTAATTTACACCGTTCTAAAGACGAGAAACTAAATTAGTTCAAAGTTTTGAAAATAATTTTAACTTTTATTAAAAGTTAAAGAGACAAAAAATACATATTTAATTATTACAGAAAAGGAGGGATAGTGGAAGAGTAAACTTTGTAAGATGAGAATGTGTTCTTTCTTCTTTTAACAGAAAAAAGAAAGAAAGACTTAGATTTCTAATGGCACACTCTCATTTTCTACGTTCACCCCTTGCTGGCTAACTACCCTTCCACTTTCATTTTTTCTAACTTTAAACCGTTCTAAACCCACTTAAAGCCGAATCAAGCCCAAATCTTCAGGTCCATTTTCTCTTCACTATTTGTAACTACCTTATAATCACACACACCATCGAATAAGTTAAAACTTCAATAAGTTTTAAATTTATTTTTCACTTAGAGATTATTTCGCACACTTATATCAATGGCTAGTTACAGAATGATAGGATGCTAAAAATACTTTTACCAATGTAAATTTACTTTTCATAAAATATAGTATTATTGTTATTTAAAATTCATTTTAATATTTTAAAACATAAATAATTAAATAATTATAAAATATTCATGTATTTTATAAATTTCATTTCTTTAGTTTTTTTAAAGTATGTAGTTCCTAATTTTTACGTAAAAACATTTTGTCTCAAAGTTTAGCTGATAATTCAGATTTAAGTTCAAATCACTTTAAATAATTTTCCTTTTTTAAATATGAAACGTATTTTTTAGACTCCAAATCTCAAATTAAATATATATTAAATTATTGCTTTGAGAATGTATTGTAACATATTTTTAACTACAGAACTTTTTCATTTAATACTTTTTAATATATCTTAAAATAAATTGTAAATATTTTAAAAATCAATAATTTTTTTGTCTCAGCTATCGTTTTTTTAGAATAAACTCGGTCTTTTGGATTATTTTATTCAATATGATTTTTAATGAAAAATGTCACTAAATAATAATATGGGACATTTTACTGTTTTCGTGTTTTAACTACTTATTATTATAAATTATAATCAATAAGTAATTAAATATTAGTAGTTAATGTTATATATTATTTTAGTTTTTCATTCATAAATAAGTTATAATTTTCTATTAATTATAGAAATTATTTCAGATATGATAACTTTTATTTTATAAATAGTGTCTAACTTAGTTAATATAATGATTAATTATTTTTTTCCTAAATTGATTGTTATTTTTGAAGTAAGCGAGGCTTTAACAGGTGGAATTAAAGTTTCAATCAACATACATATTTTTTGAAAACAATAGAATTATCAGTTATGTTCTACTACAACAAAAATTAAATTTATTGTCGAAAATTTGTCCGTAAAGTAAAATATTAATGACTTACCGACAGACAAAATTTAATGATAAAATGTTTATAAATAAATTTTATAGATGTCATTGAAAAATAATTATCTAAATTCGTCAGAAATTATTTATATAAATATTTGTTAATAAATAAATATTTGATTTGTTTTTTTTTCTTCTCCTTTTCTTTTTATTGTGTTTTTCTTTTTTTTCTCTTCTGTTATCATTTTCCTATGTTACACTACCATTCATCATTACAGCCATCATTGGTTGTTG